AGTCTGGCTAATTCCTCACATGCCTCAAAGCATCTTTTGTATTGTCCTTATGCACAGTATTTGGCTTGTTATTTTTTAGTGTATATTTATTGATTTGAAAGTAATTTGTAAACGCTTATATGTAACATAAAAATAACCATTTCCCAAATAACACTAAAGTCCTTTTGAAAAAGACATGGAATCTATATCTATATCTATATCTATATCTATATCTATATCTATATCTATATCTATATCTATATCTATATACACAGAGAAAGACAGAGAGAAAGAGAGAGAGATAGAGAGAGAGAGACAGAGACAGAGACAGAGAGAGACCAAGAGTGACTATAGAACAGGACAACACTGTCTTTATTTGACACAGTACACTAACAAATACAAAGCCCCATATTAGGAATGGGTAAATACCTTTGGAGTTAGTGGCTAGTGAGATCTTGATTTTCACAAACATTACAAGATACTGTGGATGCCATTAGTTGTCCTTCAGAGCTTAATAGCAAGATCCTTTTGCTAAACACAGCACTTTGTCATACAATATGACAAAGTCAAGCTGGTAGTGACCTGGAAACTTCATCCCTTCCCTCTTGCTTTCATAGTACTGGAAGATGCCATGCAGAGAAGATAAGTAATCATCAATCATCCCCACTCTAAACCCCACAAACTAAGATAATAACCACTTGACAACCACACCCAATGGTGTAATAGGCACATGAACATCATAAGAGTAAACAACCACTTTCTGATTATATTTAGGCCATATTCCATGAGATAAAACCGTATGATACCATCATTATGCCAAAGACCTGTGACTCAACAGTTCCTAGAGGAAAACCTACTACCATTATGCTGCTAAGTGACTGTAGTATTAAATGAATATTCCATGACTCATCATTATATCCATAGGTCAGTGCATTTCTCAACCGTGATGACAGAAACTTCTATTTGTAGTAGTTGGTGATTAACAAAATGTCTTAGTTACCATTTTATTGTTGTGACAAAACACCTTGACCAAGGCAACTTAGAAAAGATTCTATTGGAGGCTGCTCAGAGTTAGCAGGATAGAGTTCCTGGCCATAATGGCAACAGATAGATAGGGATGGCATGTTTATATTAGATCTAGAAACAGGCAGAGGCAGGAGGTAGGAGGCAGAGAGGCAAAGAAGCAAAGTGAGAGGTAGAGGTAGACTTGGTCGGGCATGGACATTTGAAACTCAAAGTCCATCTCCAGTGACATGTCTTCTCATAAAGTCACACTTCTTATTCCTTCTAAACAGTTCCACCAGTTGCGAACCATGTAGTCAGATATATAAGCCTACAGGGATCATTTTCATTCAAACCATCACAGTATATATATAGCTTTAGAGACCTCAAATCTACAGAGTGCTCGAGAGAATGGCATCCTATTGTTCTCAAGGTCCCACTGTGCTCTGTGGAGCAGGGGTAGCCCAGGGAAAACCAATGCTAATAGATCTTTCAGTGGAGTATTACAGTTATGGAATGCAGATTCCTAATCCCCAAACCCCAAATCTGAAGTATCACCTTATTCAAAACTTGAGTGCCAAAATATACAAGTATAGCAGGAAACTTCATTTAATCAGTAAAATTACTCAAATTTGTATTAAATGAATAAAATACATGTAAAAGTTCAATGATTTTTTTGTTGTTGTTTTGTTTCTAGAGACAGGGTTTCTCGGTGTAACTCTGGCTGTCCTAGACCAGAATGACCTTGTACTCACGGAGATCCACCTGCCTCTGCCTACCTGAGTGCTGGAATTAAAGGCATGCATGACTACTGCCTGGCAAAAGCTAAATGAATTTTACTTTTCAATTTGTGTGTGTGTGTGTGTTTGTGTGTGTGTGTGTGTGTGTGTGTGTGTGTGTGTGTGTGTGTGTGCAGACCCCACAATATGAAAAGAGCAGAAATATAAAACCCTTATGGTAGCAAGCATTTTTAGATAATGAATATTCAACCTGCATATGCCTGTATGATAGGACTCAGTGGTCAAGAAAAGCTAATGGATGCTTAGTTTTATCATTTCGTCAACGGGTAGTGCAGTACAGCTGAGTCATCTATTAATGGGAAACTATTAATATGGTGGTGAGAGGTCAGAGCCAGGCTGAGTATTAGTAGGTGAACATAGTTACATGTTAATGATTTTGTATAAAATTTAAGAATTTTATGAAATTGATCAGTAGTTCAGAAAACAGGACTATTAACTTATTTTATGTTAAATATATTTCTTAAATTAAAAGCTAAAAATCATAAGAATAAATAGTTAAAATGTTTCTTTGATGGAGTTACCTTTAATGGCAGTTGGTTTTATTCTTGAACACGTTAAGCCTGCTCATAACTTGACAGTATTTTGCTGAAATTGAGTCTCTGATTTCTGAAATGAGAGTGGAAAAAGATGTGAAAAATGATGGCCTCGAGCTGTTTAAAATCCAAATTGAAACTTGTACTACAAAGAGGGAAGTTGAACCTGAGAGTTTCTGCCTCTATCAGCATGACACAGAGCTGCAATTGAAGTTTCCTTACACCCCACGGATCTAATAAACACATTGGTTCATTTAAAAGGGATTCGTTTCCTTGGATTTTTGGAATTCATAAATGAAGGAACGTAGTCTAATGAATTACCTGCTATATATGTTCTCAATGCACAAATCACACATAGAGGTCCATTTTAGATGCTATTAGTGTTTATGTATAGACAGTTAAGCATTTTATCTATCTCTAAATAGCTTGTTGAGCATTTTAGAAGGCAACTTTATTGAGTGGAAATAGTCTATTGAATGATTATAATTTGTATACTCATAATATATATCAAATTTATTTAGATTGTATAAATCCTATATATTATACATGTTTTTTGATATTTAAAGCAAAGAATATTAAAATATATCTTAAAAGACAAATAAATACAATTAAATCATGTAGTTTTTAATTTACTGTGGTCTTGCTATTTTTTTCTATACAGTTTTGATAAGGATCCAGATTAGTTGGAAAAGTTAACAAACATAAGTACCAACAGTTTATGCTTTTAAATAATTCATATCATTAAATTAACATACAAATAATTTATATAATATTAATGTATAAAGAGAAGACCCTTTATGATGACCTTTAAATCTTAAAATTGAAGTTTTTGTTAATTCTGCTTTTTATTAAATTTCCAACTGCTCATTTAGGTGAATATTGTCTTGATTTGGCATAAAAACTTGAAGCTTATTATTTTAAATAATATTTGGTGACTGTTTAATTATGTGTGAAATTCTGTGTCAAGTTTAGTTGATCTTACAATGTGTACACCTAGATCCCTGAATTTACAAAAGTTAGCATGAAAACTAAAACATTTCTGAAGCAGCTTAGGCTGTTTGTGGTGAGTCAGTCACTCCAACTTGATGCACAAATTAGGTATAGCCATGGTTTTACAGTAGTGTGTTCTAATGCACAATATTACAAAATTAAGCTTATAGCAATGGTATGCATTTACTTGACACTCATGAATCTATGAATCAGTGAGAGTAATGAGTTCTGGAGGTCTAATAAAAGGAGATGAAGGAGATAGAATTGCACTTGAGATTTTTTTGGCAAGTTGCAAGATTGCTAGTGAACAAGAGATAGAATTGCACTTGAGATTTTTTTGGCAAGTTGCAAGACTGCTAGTGAACAATTGAAAATGATGTTACAATGCTTTTTATAAATTATAATTTTCTTCTCATGGATTGCATACATCTATACTAATATAATATGATCACATTGAACCCCCAGTTCACTCCTGTATCTACCCATAGTCCCCAAGAAGAAGTCCCCCTCCCATGTTCCCTCCCAAGTTTTTCTTCCTTCCTTCCTTCCTTCCTTCCTTCTTTTTTTCTTTCTTTCTTTCTGGTAAATTGGCCAGTTAGAATATTAACACAAAAAGAATGATCTTTCTCTCCCTCAAAGTCTATCACTTGCCAGTACCCTTCAATAAGGGCTGGGCTTTGAAGAATTCTTCCCCTACTATGCTGACATTTTGCCTGGTTTTACCTTATGCAGAGTTATGCAGGTCATGCCAGCTACTGTTCCTTAATGGAAACCTTTATCAAAATTTATTTTGAAAAAACATAGAACCGTCAATAGACAGGCTTTTTTGTTTGTTTATTTGTTTGTTATAAACTCTCTGACCCTATTTAGTTACAGGTGGTGAGACCTCTAGATCCACAATATTCTCACTAATTCTCTTTGGTTCTATATAGACCCTTTCCTTTGGTCTTGAAGGTTTCATGTCTTTTTAACCTGGACTTTCTACCATCCCTGCTCTACAGATCTGTAGTGTTGCAGACATCAAATTATGTCATATTTCTTCTGGGACTTTGGGGATAAATCCCATGGCCGTCAGAGGTGCTGTATTGTTACTATGACCTAGATTCATGGTTGTCAATTGCACAGACATCGGTCACAAACTCTGACTCCTCTTTCTTCATTTGCAGTCTATCTATTTTAGTTTTCTCACTCTCTTCTGATCTGTTCCCTTATTTCATTACAACTTGTTCTTTTTTTAGCATAGTACTTTGACTTCTCACATAAAGTAGAAGCTAGCACAAAGGCAATGTTTCAGCCTCCAAGTGTCCCCCTTCAAAGCTGTCTGTATTTATGTGTGCTTATAAAAGACAATAGAAAAGATAATGCTACAGATCAGTGCATCAACTCCTTTTTACCTTCCCTCTTTGACTGTAAATCTGTGTTTACTTCCTCTTTCTCTGAGGTCCTCGGTGCAGCTTCCCACTTCTGTGTATAGAATTGCCATATCTCTTCTTCCTTAAATATATTTGAAAAGAAAAGGCTGTCCACTCCTTCAATTCTGTCATATCCCCCCAAGATTGATTTTATTCCTAAATTATATGCATCTCTGTGTTTACGTGTATATGTGTGGGGATGTATGCAAACGCTAGTAGATGGTATCGCCTATAGACAATTCTACTAATAATACACTGCTACTTATCCATTGTAACTAGAATACCTTGCAGGTACATTTCTTCTCCTTCATGCCTTCATGGTTGTGGTTTCAGAACAGCGACTTGAGTGGATTACTAAAGCCTAAGGAGGACTGTCCAAGTGTTTCCCTGAGAACACAAGACAGGTGAAATCTGAGAATAACATTTGGGGTTGGAAATTTAGAAAGTACCATCAGTTTAGTTAGGGACATTTTAGATGCTGGATTAGTCTGAACAAATGGAAGAAGAATTCAGGAACCTACTCCATGGTTATTGATGGTGTTTCATTAAATATACAAATTTGTTATATTTGAATGCTGAAAACTAACACTGAGTTAAGAATGTTCAGAATTCTCAGAACATCAAATAATTGGAAAGATAAAAGGAATGAATGCAGATCAGGAATTATTTTTAAAGGAAAGGCGAAATAAAATAAACTAAAAGCAAGAGGCTGGGAAGGTGGCTGAGTGGGCAACGTATTTTCTGTGCAAATATGAGAACCTGAGTTCATAAATCCTCAGTACCCACACTAAAAGCCAGGCATCATGCATACCTATCATCCCAGGACTGGGCGGTATAGAGTAGTGGATCATGGGGCCTCTTTGGTCAATCTTTCAAAAACAGGTATATTCCATGTTCCCTGTGATATTCTGTTTCAAAGTTAAAACAAAAACAACAAAAAGTGAGGAAAAGGTCATTTCTGCCCTCAGCAATAAACAGAAGGAGCAGTAGGTGGTAGATACTGTAATGATTCAGCCACACAACATGGCTTACACTTCCGGGTTCCAGAGCCACGGATGTGCGGACAAATCCCCAGACAGAGGTGCCTAATGGCCCCGGAAATCTTCTACATATGACACAGATGCATGAGCCCTTACATGAATGCGTGAGCTCCTTATGATGTAACCATGCCATCCCCCTGTGCGCATGCACTAGGCAGCCCTTAAAAGCTGGAGGCGCCATGTTATCTTCAGCTCTGTCTCTCTCTCTTTCTCTCTTTGCACATTGACCTTCATCAGGCCTGTACACCGTCCGTTGCCCACCCCTAACTCCTAAGCAGGTTTGTTGTATGTTCTATGTTTTCTTCTTGCGCCAGGTAATTTCAGATATAGACGGCTGTCAACCTGAGGGACGTTTTCCTCTTTCAACTCCAGTTTTCCCCTGGACTAATAATAATAATAACCCCTGTTGGGCCGTTACTTTTGCATATTCCTTGAGACAGACTAAAACTGCCTCGAAGAATCATATGAACTGTTTGTTTATTTGTTTGTTTTTTTCTGCATGTCTCTGTCTCCTTTCTCTCTGAATCTGTTTCTGTCTGGTTTTCTATCAGTCTCCCTCTGTCCTTCCCTTTCCCTCCCTTTCTCCCAGTTATCCCCTTCCTCTGTGTTTTTTTTTTTTCTTTTTTGAGTTTATCTCCCACAAGGCCATGTGCCAAGATTGCTGCTGGATTCATTGTAAATAAGAAAACTTTTTACATTTAAGCTCAAAGGGCAGGGCAACACAGGCAGGCCCGTATTCCCAGCACGCAGAAAATAGTTGTGGGAGGAAAAAGAGTTCAGATTCCCCCTCAGTAACATAGATCTCAAAGTTGACCTGGGTGATATGAGATCACTTCACATAAAAATAAACTAGCAGAGGAAGAATTCAAAGTTGACATTCCTGGGAGAAGTCTAAATAACAGATCTGTCAGCCACTTAGCTAAGAACGGTGACTCATCTTGGCAGTATGCCCCTCACCTGTGATTTTAGACTTGAACTGTTCTTCTGTGGTACAGCAGCTCCGGCAAACAGCCATGCAGGATTATGCTTTTCTATTAAAGCAAAAACAAATGAGCAATAGACAAAGCCAAAAAAGAAAAGAAAAGGAAACAAAAAACCAACCAAACAAAGAAAACATCAACACACAAACATCTACATACAAAATATGTTTCCAAAAGTGTAAGATTCTAAGACAAGAAACCGTGCAAATGCAAAATCCACTTTAGAACCTGCTGAGCATTGTGTTTTATCTCCAGTTCCTGTGTTTGTGAACGTCCAAGGTATTGGTATTTGGAGGTGGAGCCTTGAAATGTAATTAGAGTTTGAGGGGAGAGTTCCCAGGAATGGAAAGATTGTCTTAGAGGCCACAGACTCATGAGAGAAGACTTCTCTAGATCCTACAAGAATACAGCCTGAAGATACCTGTAGCCTGCCAGCTGGAAGAAAACTCTTATTAAGAACCTGGCATGCTTTCCCCATTTTCTACTTGCCTGGCTTCTAGACTGTGAGGGGGCAAAACCAGTTTATTATTTAAGTATCTGCAGCCCACACTAAGACAGATGTTTTCTGCATTTCTAATGGAGACAGATGCTGCCTCATCTAGCTGGTTTATGCATGCCAGCGTGTAAGTAAAGATAGACTGAAGCAGGAGGCAGGCTGACATGATTCAAATCCTGGCTTTGTTAGTAGCTCCGAGACTTGAGCTTTGCTGCTCTCACACTTTGAGCCTGCTTCATTATCCATCAAATGAAAATTCTAATACCGCATAGGACTTTTGAGATAATTGAATCAGATATTGAATGTCAAGCACTAAGGAGAATCCATAACTGCTGCTGCAGTCATTTTCACCAGGCCATCCTACACACTGCTATTGTAATAATTTCATTATTTCCTTTAGCACAACAAACCTCTATTCTTCTATATTAGGTATAACATAGACTCAGCCTCTCCTCAAGTCATTCAAAAATGTTTATAGTGCATTTACCCTGTTACTTACGTTCCTGTGTATTTTTTTGCAGGTCATTAGACTTTCCCTCAAGGATGAAGATTCTTGTTGGTTGCTTCTTTTGTTGTTCTTTTTCTTCTCCTGTTTTTGTTTATTTATTTATTTTTCAGATAATACATTTTTGCTTGATAGTGTTGATAGTACAGGTTAGCTTGAATCTCACTCTGTTGCCCAGGCTGTCCTCAGATTCTCAGCAATTCTGTCTCCTAAGACTCCTAAGAGTGTGTCTCCTGGTTTGAACCCCAATCAGCTTGTTTGGGCTCCAGATGGAAAGATGGTTATATATACTTATTTTGGTTGAATTTTTTCTCTCTGTTCTCTCCAGTCCTAAGCTCTCAAATTGCTCTGCCTTGGCAAGCCTTTAAACTTTTGGTCATTTCTCTTCAAAGACATCTTTAGCCATCAAACTTGACTTTTTTATTCTACCTATTGACCAGGCTATCTTCTTAGTGTTAAATTTTTATATGTCTCCCTATGTGGCCTTTTCCTTTACAATATCTCTGACAGAACTTGATTTGAGTTCTAGGCGAAGATCAATGACAACAAACAAATAAAGGCTGCCTGAGCTTTGTTTCTGAATTATTTGAACAGTTTTATTGCGGTATTTTTCAATATGAGATAATTCTTACAGCATGCATTTTACCTATTTATAGTATTCACTTCCCTCATCTTTAGTGTAATTAAAACTTGGTTTGTGTAATAACCACCACTCTCAGTTTTAAAATATTTTCCTTACTTGAAAAGAAATCTTGTATTCACTCAGGTGTCATTTTATAATTGTCACAGTCCCAGCAACAATACAAATTTACCCACCACAAATATTTTGTATAAATAGTGTGGAATATGCACATATTGTGACTTCTTTCCCCCTTTTATTCATTTATTTATTTATTTATAAAATTTTCCACTTCCTCCCCTTCTCCCAATACCCTCCCGCTTCCCCCACTCCCTTTCCTCCTCCCTCTCCAGTCCTAAGAATAGTCAGGGTTTCCTGCCCTGTGAGAAGTTCAAGTTCCTTCCCCCTCCCTCCAGGTCTAGGAAGGTGAGCATCCAAACAGATTAGGATCCCAAAAAGCTAGTACATGCAGAAGAAACAAGTCCCAGTGCCATTATCAATGACTTCTCAGTCAGCCCCCATTGTTAGCCACATTCAGAGAATCCGGTTTGATCACATGCTCCATCACTCCCAGTCCAGCTGGCCTTGGTGAGCTCTCATTAGATCAGTCCCCTTGTATCAATGGGTGAACGCACCCCTCGCGGTCCTGACTTTCTTGTTCATGTTCTCCCTCCTTCTGCTCCTCATTTGGACCTTGGGGGCTCAGGCCAGTGCTCCAATGTGGGTCTCTGTCTCTATTACCATCCATCGTCGGATGAAGTTTCCCTCTGATCCTGACTTCCTTGCTCATGTTCTCCCTCCTTCTGCTTCTGATTTGGACTTAGGGAGCTAAGTCCAGTACTCCAATGTGAGTCTCTGTCTCTATTTCCATCCATTGCCAGATGAAGGTTCTATGGTGATATGAAAAATATTCATCAGTATGGTTATGGGCCAAGGCCAGTTCAGGCACCTTCTCCTCTGCTGCCCAGGGAACAATCTGGGGACCTCTCCTTGGACCTGGGAACCCCTCTAGAATCAAGTCTCTTGCAAACACTAAAATGGCTCCCTTAGTTGAGATATATACTTCCCTGCTCCCATATCCATCCTTCCTCCCTCCCCCCCCATCCCATTCCCCCAAGCTATCCCGAATACTCCCCTTCTCCCTTCTCTCTAACCAGAAAATCATATAGTTCTCCTCCTGGATATTAGAAGTAGACAAGATTGCCAGGCAAACTTGGGTGCACAGGGTTGGGGGGAGTGGGGGTTGGATGTAAGGGGAGATGGCTTCTTTCCCTTAATATAAGTTGGGTTCATAGGATTCTACGTTGAATCGTGTATTAGTATGCCACATTTCTATATTACTAAATATGTTATTATGTGAACACAAAGCATTTTTTGGTTGATTGTTTTGATGTTTTAATTGTGCTCAGTTTTTGATGACTATGAATTATATTGCAAATGAGCACTATACATGCAAGGTTTTGTATGAACATCTGTGTCCTACCTTTCTTTCTATTTCTTTGCTAAACATCATGACCAAAATCAACTGAAGAAAGAAAGGATTTATTTGGCTTATATGCCCTGATCACAGCACATCATGGGAGATCAAGGTACCAACTCAAGAAAGGGAAGAGTAGGAGTAGAGATCATGAAGGGACATTGCTTACTGGCTCATTCCTCCTGGCTTGCCTATTTGTTTTCCCGGTACCATTTGTCAAAGATGGCACTGCCTGTAGGGCTGGCCCTTCCACATTTTTCATCCATCAAAAAAAATGCGCATAGACTTGCGCACAGTCCAGTTTGATGGAGGTAATTCCTAACTTGAGGCTCACTCTTCCAAGAGAATTCCATCATGGCTGAAGTTGACAAAGAAATCTACAACACAATCTGCTTTGATTTAACATTGATATATAAATTTGAGTTGAATTCCTGGGTTCGGTGCTAACACTAGTATTTGAAGACTTTCCATCCTGTTTTCCAAAGTAGTGACATGGCTCTGCATTTTAAGTAGCAATGTGTGAAGTTTTATTTCTCCACACCCTCCAGTTTACTTGATATCCATTGTTTTTACAATAGCCTTACATCTGTGAGCACAGCATCTCATTATGATTGTTATATTTCCATAACTAACTGCGTAGGGCTTGTTGGACATTGCTGTTTTGAAGGGCACATCTATCCTGTGCTTGCTTTGAAAATATATTTTAGTAATTAAATTGTAAATATTAGTTGGATATCCTAGATTCAAGTAACTTTATCACTTTAATGATTTCCAATTATTTTCTTCCCTTGCTATTTCATTTTTTTGATAATGTCTTTTGTTTACTCATTTTTTCATTATGAATAGTGTAATTTATCATTTTTCTTTTGTTTCATCTATATCTAGCATTGTATTAGAGAACTGAGTTAATATAAATTTACAGAAGTTTTATTTGAAATGTTTTAGAGTTCTTAAGCCTGTTTCTGGGATCCATTTTGAGCTAATTTT